ATTTGAAGTGTGTTCTGTGCTGTGCTTCCAGTGGACCACAGATTCTCAAATGCTTAAAGCCCGCCCCCCATCATTTATTCAAGAGATTTGATATATTTTACCTTGTTGAGATTCTAGTTTAGAATCCTCTACAAACTGAATCCAGTTAGATATTACTTTCCAGGAATACTTGTAGCTTTAAAAGTTGACTAAACTGAAAACTGGGTTCATTCTCTCTCATGTTAAACTACTAAATAGCTAAAGTGTAATTCAGTTGTTGTAATGGTTTGCCTTTTTCTTTGCACACCTAGTAAATTTAAAGGGCAGATATTAAACTGCAGAATTTATTCTAAATTTCTTTTAAAGTTTCATTCACTGGAGGAGTAGGTGATTTTTTTCACAGCATGAGACAAAAAAAAAAAAAAAAGAAGTATTACCAAAGTCTTTAATTATGTCAGGAAAGACTGAAATCATGGTGTTTCTTTTAATGGGGGTAACTGTCTTTTGCCACCTCTCTGTGGTCATCCAGCCTTGTCCCAACTCGATTATTTGAAGACCAGTTTGGCTACTAAGATGTCAGGCAAAGAAGTTTAGAGTTAACTCCCCACTCCTCAAGATAGCTCCTGGGGCAAGTAGCAGAAGAGGGAGCCAGGTGTCAGACACCTCTGGTGCTTTCCTAAGCAAGAACATTCAGGGGGAGTTTGAAGTCATTTCCTTAACCTCGCATTCAAATGATCATTCTGCAGAATTTAACCAAAACTGTCCTTGTTGGAATTTGGTAGTTAGGGGTTTCACCTCTCCCTTCCTCAAGGGATCTTGGAAAATGTTTAGAAGTTACTAATTTCTAAGAAGCTAAATAAAGAAGTTCTTTTATAATGTATGAAGTACACACTTTAACTAAATAGGTAGTGTATATCTGATGACATATAGACAAGAGACAAAGAAAGTTATTTTTAAAGAATTTGAAGGGGAAAATGGATAGAACAGCATCAATCTTACAGAAAAGTAGGGTTGGAGTTAAAAGAAACTTGGATAATTTTTAAAAATGGTCTTCTATGCTTCTATGTTTTAGGATAATTTAAAGCTCCATGCAACCCATGCAGGCAGTGAGTAAACGAAGCAAGAGAAGGTCCTCTTGAGAGATCTGACCATTTTTGACTTAGTATACCTAAAGTGAGCTTTTCAAACTTCTTAATACTTTTCTCTGGCAAAAAATGGTCCTGAAATATCAATTATTATTTTAAATTAGAAACTCGTAGACCTAAGTCATCCTGAAACTAGATCGGAAATACACTTTTCTTTAAAGTAAGAAATTCCCGATTAATCAAATAAAGATCTTAACTACTCCTTCCCTCCCCCAGACATGAGAGAAAGAGATCCCCCAAAACCCAGATTGAGAACAAAATCTAGGTGTCCAGGAGTTCAGTAAATGCTATCTACTCAGATCCGCACAATTCCCCTGCCACTTGACAGAGATGACACCACACTCCTGTCCTTCACTGCACCTGATTCCCTTTTCTGACTCTTGAACTCCAGAAGGTTAGAATAAAATATTTATTTAAAAAATGAAAGTTCAGTTTATGGAGTGGGTTCCTGAAAAAATACACAAACCAAACACAAGCCAACATATGGAGATATTTCAGCAGCGGGTTCAGAAAGTGGGAGGTGCACCCTAGCTTAGAATATGACTATCTCCAAGCCACTATTATTCAACAGGTCCCCTTTGCAACCCTGAACACTTAAGCTGCCAAACTGCATTACCCTAAGTTGAGTTTCCCCCAGTTTTCCTAGGAGGGTCCTGTCGCTCTTTTAAATAGCTCCTGGTGTGGCCGAATTTCTCTGGTAGTATGGATTTGTGTTAGTATTTGAACAAAACGACTCTTGATGCTGAAAGAATGACCAAATCATGAGGGAAAATTATCTTAGAGGAGAAAGAGCTCAGCAGTGACTTGCAAACTAGGAAAGGGCCAAAAGTTTGTGTAAGTGGTGCTGTATGAGAAAATATGTTTATGGCTGTTCAAAGAAAACAAATTAAATTGGATCAGTGAAGGACTTACTTAAATATTTGTATGTCTTAAGAGATGGGAGAACTAAATTGCTGCTAAATTGCTGCTAAACAGAGAAACTCATTGAAAATTTTTTACTGTAATACCATGCCAAATAGAAAATAGTTTTATCCTGAAATGAATCACAATCCATGTTATTATACAGAAACAATTTTTAAATCAGTTTATCGAGTGTGTCTCACAGGAAAGAAACACCTTTAAGACACGAGGGTCTTCTCCTTTTCATTTATTCTTCACCCTTTCTAGAAAAGTTTGGATTAAGTTGTTCGAAACTATTTTTGTACAATCGATCTTTAATAGAAATTTGGTTGGAACCTGTTCTAAACGTAGAATTTTCGTTCCTAAAGTGATTCGAGAGGGCAAGGGTGGCTAGAACAAGGTCCTGGTAGGAGGAGAGATTTCACTTAAAGCCGAACAAATGAGGCGATATTCCATACAGCAAGGTGCAATTCGAAATCTTTAAAAACTCATCTTGTCTTAGGAGTGGCGACTTCAATGTTGCTAGGGAGACCACGCAATGGAAAAGATACCACGAGAAAGTGATCTTCCTTTATTGTACTTTGCTTAAGGCGACAGTAAAAGAGAAAGTCAAACAGGGAGATGTGCGGAAAAGCACAGCTAGGAGTTGAGGTCTGCAAAGGAGAAGAGGTGATGGATACTGAGCCAGTCGCGCCCCCTTTTTGGTGCTGTCAAATAAGTTGCTGTCAGGCTTTTTAGCGCGCGGCCGGCGGGGCGCCTGCTGCCGAGCCGCCTCTCTCGGGGCGGTAATTAACCAGTGCCTGGGCTCACGGAGCTAGTCCGACAGCTCCAGCCACAGGCAGAACCATGGCACCAAGGGCCGGGTAGGTCTGGACGCACATCTTCTGGAACGCAGATCTGTCGCGACCGAGATCAAGAGCCGGGGGAGAGTGAGCTCTTGGTTACAGAAATCAGAGTCGGCACAGATCTGGATGGATAAGGGGTGGTGGTGAAAAGTTTGTGGAAGAAAAGTTAGGGTTAGGGAAGGGAAGACCCTTACCAGAGAAATGACTGAGAGCGGCGCTCATTTCAGGGTAGACTTAGATGCTAATTTGGGGAGATACGCAGGCAAATTGTGTGTCAATTCTGGGCGCTCTGATTAACACCGGGCACGGAGCGTGCAAGACTCTCCACCCACAAATGCATCTTCTTTAAACCTACTGTCGTTTTAGGCTCTGATCCTAAGATTTTAGCAGCCAGTTTCCTATAAGGGGGGAGTGGTCGCAGAGAGGAATCTGGCGAGGCCTGAACTTTGGGGTTCTGGCCAAGGGGAGAGGGAAGGGGGCGCGCTGGGCGCTGTCCATGGTGCTGGGAAGAGCGCGGCTTCAACTCGCTTCACTTCGCTGTCCTCAACTGTAGCTCAGGTGTAAAAAGGGGTAAGGGACACCAACTCGTGCGGCTAGGATTTTTCTTCTCTCCGCAAGTGTAGAAATACGAATGTAGCCGTACAATTTAAACAGTGCTCTAGGAGGGTTCTGCTCTTTCTCAGTCATTTCAGCTTAAACAGCAATGTTAACTGATCCTTAAAGTGTTCCATATTTCAAAGTAATGCAATCAGCAATCGCTGATATACAACATAAAGTGGAAAGAGGAAAGAAACAAAAAGACGTTTTGAGACTTGAAACGTACTCCCAATTAAGTTTTTCCCCAGATTTAATAGGAAATAAAAGCCGAGTGTGACTTAACCTGCTAAATAACATGAGTTTATTGAGAAACTTATGAATATACATATAGTATGTTATATATTGTATTTCACCTTAATAATTCTGTAAAGTCCACATTTGCTAAAGGCTATAGTTGTATATCTGTCACCAAAAATGAAATGAGCAATTTACCTCTTGTAGTGTGTGTATATACATTAGAAATGGCTATGACTTCATTGTGAGTTCTAAAACAGTACTCTAACAACTGCATTAAAACACACACACACACACACACACACACACACACACACACATTTGATTCTTTAAAAGACCAGTAACCAGAAAGAAAGCAGGATAAAGATTTTTAAAAAAAATTTGAAAGCTAGGTATGGGACTACAGAGAAACATAACCTACTTAGTAAGCAGTCATACTTTTGTGAAACACACACACACACACACACACACACACATACATGTCATGTGACAAACAAGTAGGCTATTAGCTATGGTCAAACCAGAAATGAGAAAAATAGGAAAAGAGTTGATTTTAATTGTTTTAATCACGAAAATCTTACTTAGCCTCAACAATTTGAATCCATGTGACAATGAAGAAAGAAGAGGATGTAAATTCAAACAGCTGACACAATGATCAGCAGCAACTGACAGCATTTCATCTGATATTTGATATCAAGCACTAGATCAATATTTGTAAGATCAATGCAATTTTAATGGTTTTCTTTCAAAACTGTATGAAAGCCAAATTGTGACACTCTGTGCTAGGGTTATTTTTAGAGCTGGTTATTCCAGGGGATGATATTAAGTAATTTACTGAAGCAAAAGCAAAAACAAAAGCAAAAAACAAACCCACAAAAAAAACCCACAACAAAACCGCCACAACAACCATCAATATTTCTTCAGTTGATAAATCCTGATTATCTAAGTACCCAGAAAAGGTGTGAACATTTATTGGAAAAAAGCCATTTATTTGATTGTGGTTTTAAAAAGGGAGAAGAAAATAAACCTTGGAAAATTATTTGGAGAAACATGAAGATGAACTGGATCAGAGTTGTCTTTTTCAGAAACAATGGAATTAGGTGGTACTTGAGCAATAAGAAATGAAAATGATAAAAGGGAAACCTAGGCCTTTTAGGTATAGGGTCAATCCCCTCATCTGTAGAATTCAGTGGAAAATAACAGATTTTTTTTTTTTTTCATTTCTGGCAGAGTCGAAAACTGAGAGCTCTTTCTGAAACTCTAAGCAATATTCCCACAAAGGTCAAATAGAGGCAAATAAAGTAAATAGGCATGACTATTGTCTATTATTTTCCTTAGAAGAATTTATGCTTTAAAAAATAAAATGCAATCCATCGAACTCAGAGACACATAGTTTCTAAATCTATAGTTAAACTTTGATTCATTTGCTTACCAAGTCATTTTGATAAAAAATGCTGAACTTTGATTTACTTATTTGTTTTTACAGATTCAATTTTGAGGAATTTTCACCTAGAGGAATCCAAGACCTTCAGTTCCAACAGCATTTCTGGTCAGGTAGAGGATGGGGGGAGAGTGTCAGAGAGAATGTAACTAGGTGAACGTTTCAATAATAACAGTAACAAAGGTGAGGTGTGGTGATCCTGACAAGTAGAAGATTTTTTGATTATAAAACCAAGTAAATGTCTAATTTGTAATTCAACTTTATTAAAACTTGGGAGAAATTCTTTTCCTTTTCACTTGAAATAACAGTATCATTCAAGGAAATTTCTGGTATCTGATCTAAAAGACTTTTCATTCATTTTTAGAGAATAAAATACTTCAAAACTATGTGATTCTTAAATTTTCCCTCAAATGTTTCTTTTTCCTGTTTTGTTGGATGACAGTAAACTGCCTGATGAAAAAACTGACAAATCCCTTCAAATAAAAGGCACTTGCAGTATATGCTCTTAAATGAAATTCACATCTAAGTACTTTTGAAGAATTAAATCATACTTGTAGTGTATTTCTCAAGAATGTAGGTAAAGACATAGTTTCTAGGATTTTAATAACTCCATGAAAAGTCACTGTCTGTGTCTCTGTGCTCTATTGTATTTCAGATTTGGCAGACTGCCTACAAACTAAAGACATCAACAGTTTAAATCAATTTTTTTCTTTAATGAAATAAAGCCAACCTTACATACAAATAGAGCTTACATACAAAGAGTATTTATAGATGCAAATGAACTTGAGATATTTAAAAAATATTGAATACAATGCCTTGCAGATTTTGAACATGAAAGACTTATTTAACGGAAAATATGTTTACAAACATTCATGGTGACCAACACATACTGTGTTACAGGCACCGAATAGACATACCATACACATACAGTTTATGCTGTCTGTATATTTCAGGTGGAGTGTAGGAATGGATGTCTGTATCCCATGGATGGATATCTATGTATGTGAGACATATACATATATGTACCTATAGACATTTTTTATTATGTGTTTTTTAAAAAACCTGAGTTGTTTTATAAAGTGAACTTTATAGTCAATGATAGTTGCTTGGACTTCCATTTTGGCTAATCATAATTTGACCAATAACTTTTCCTAAAAGCATGAAGGGCAATATTAAGAATTTAAAAGTGCACCAAAAAATGTTCCTCTTAAGCCACTTTTGAAGTAATGCTAGTGAGTCTACGGTCCAGATCTACATGTTAATCTCTAGTTTTGCCTTCAAACAGAATTCAGTTACAAAGAACTTGGAAAGATTTTGAATCTATTCAGGAGAGGAAAACTCTTTAATTTTCTGAGGAGTAAAAACTCCCCAAGAAACTTCATATAGCTTCTTAGATTTTGCTTAGCATACGTGATAAAACATTGATTGTTGCAGTTTGGTGACCCATGAAATTTGGGGGTTAGTTTTCTCTTCAGACCAGAGCATATAATTATGCAAATAAAGAGCTGTCACTGATCTAGTGAAATACTCACAAACACATGCACTCTGAAATTGGACAGAAAAGTGAAAATGGTTGGTGATGTGATGGTGCCATGGTTTGTTTTCCTGCCAAGTTTCTATCCAAGTTCATTATTCAAATTGTAAACTTTAAAAAGAGACATATCATTCTTGGGGTGTTGGTTGTCTTTTCATTTCAGATTCTTTGTATTGGTACTGCAGGCTGGTCACAAAGTACAGTTCAACATTATTTTACCTATGATAGTTTTCCATATCACCCAATGTAATTGCCAAAGAAAAAGCTGAATCATCTGGGGGAAAAATGCAGGACTTCTTTATATTTCTTTCTAAAACATATTTCATGTGTTTTAAACAGAACCCAATCCCAACAATACAGAGAATATAGTGAAAGGTTTTCCACAAATCTCAAAGCAAATGATTGGGAAAAGTTGCCTGGAAGGTCTCATGGATTAAGCCAAATTTCCATTTTGAACCTTTTTACATTCAAGGGGAAAATATTGGTCACACTGTGATGTCCACTTAATGGTCAAACTTTTAGGACAGCTTTCTTCTATCTAGCAATTCTTTAACCTCTGTGGCTCATTTACAGTTATTACTCCTATAAAACCTTTGTTCTAAGAATTAGAGTTCTTCAATGTAATATGCACTTTGGCATTGAGGTCTGAGGTCTCTCAATTCCAAAGTTAACATTGAACAGGCTGTTGCATAATTTTAGATGTCATGGAGAGTTCCACTGATGAAATCTGAGAAGGCTCATGTCAGACCACTGACTGCTAAAGACATCACTACATGAAAGATCAGTGGTGTGAAACTTTAAAAACATCGATCCAAATGAATCAATTAAATCAACATTCATCCTTCCTAAGTGTGAGGTTTAAAACTATCATTGTTGCTTTTTTTTAACCGTACATAGATTTTGAGATAAATGCTGGAATGCTTTGATGACTACTTCTGTTCTTGAATCTCCACTAATCGACTTTGTGCTATTTCCCTCTTTTCAACATCTTCCACTTGGTGTACATTCTTTACTTTAGTACAGTGCATGACAGTTTTAAATCTAAAACCGCCTAACAAAGCTGATACTTTAGGTAGGGTAGCTTTCAGCTTTGTGAAGTGTTGATTAAAAACCCTTTCCCAGACTCAAACTGATCTTTTTGGAGATTAATAGAATATTAGATAAAAGGAAGACGAACAATTCAAGAGACTCCCACTCAGTCATTCTATACAAGGAAGGAAGGAAGGAAAGTATTCAATTTTTGAAAGGGAGTACCTCCTGGAGTCTTTTATTTTATATTATTACAGCCCCTAATAAGTAATCATAAAATCACATTACCCCCCCACCCCCCACCCCTGCCACCCATATTTCAAAGATGAGACTCTCTCACATTTATTTAAAGACATTTTCCCCCACAGTGTCAGGGGGAAAGTTTTTGAGAAAATTTTACACTTACTGTAATAGTAATCTTTCTTAAATGAATTAGGAGTGCAGCTACCAACAGGAACCTATCAGTTTACAGTAAAAACTACAATTATAACAAGACACACACATACATGTGTCCACATAATCCAGAGAAACATAAAATAAATTCTAACTTATTAGCAGTGATAACATAGTTAACATATCTTTTCACCCACACTCTCTTAAACGAGTTACAGGTTTTAGGGAAGGAATAGCTATGAAACAAATGTAAACAAGTCAGTTTCAAACTGGACATAGTATATCAAGGACTCACATATAGGAGTTTAGAAGCAATTTAATCTCCCCAGACTCCCTTTGGAAAACACATTTATTTGCAGTATATTAAATTTTACTTTATAAAACAACAGTTTGATGATGCATTATTCAAATTTTATTACTAAAGTTATATTTTAGATAGTAAGAACTAATGACTTAAAAAATGTTACTTTTGTGAATAGTGCTAACCAAATTGTGACTCTACTAAAGTTAGGATATTACCTTACAGCAACAATCATAGTAAAAACAAGTACCTATAAGGTTTAAAATATTGATGAATTCTGTTCCATCATTCCTTTTATGTTTCAGTTTAAAAACCTCTACACAGCTGGTGAATAAAGGAACTCTGAGCAAGAATAATACACTGCTGCTTGTTGAGAAAAACTTTTTATTTAAAAATGGTGAACAGAAATATATAATATATAGGAAATGCCTGTGCCTTACCTTTTTTTTGACATATCAACAAGAATGCAACCCGACTGAAGCACAAGGCAGAAATATGAGAAAAGAATAATTATGACAAGTTGATGGTCTCCCTTTCAAATATCCATGAAGATTTTTAATGACTGTATGGTTAGGTACCTTTAGAAAGTTGCAAAGCTTAGGTGGCTTTTAAGTTTTGACAGGACTATTTTGAATCTTACATTATCAACAACTCCTTTTCCATCCACTTGCTCTACATACTAAGTATGTAATTAAAATAAAGACTCTATATCTTTACTTTAAATCTCTGTTCACCTAAAATACCCAAGGGCACCAAAATGGGGAGAAGATCAGAGCAGAAACACTGTTAACACTGGCCACCCGTAAGCAGGCGGCTACTACCAACTGCTATTGTTACTGCAGGAAAATTGAATTGACAATATTACTACACTTTATACCAACAGAGCCATAATCAACAGGTTAAAGAATCCTACATTATAAACAAGGAATCTGATCAGTAATCAGTAGGTGGTCTGGAATGGTTTGCCTAGCTCTCTCTGGGTTGCTACAGCTCAGATCCACAAGTAGAAATTACATTTACACAACTTAAGTTTGCAAATATCTCTCTATAGATAGTTAAACAAAGCTTTACAATCCAGTAGTTTTAAAGTATTAAAGGCAATTAAACAGTGATTTTTCTCTAGTTACAAGTAAAGATTTTTTAAAAAAGAGGTGAGAAAATTGGAGAGAAGGAATAGGAGTCTTTTGGTTTATAAATTGAGCATATTTACTTTGCTTTAATTCAGCTGCAGAAGCTTCGCAAATTTAGCATTGCACAAGTGTTGGTTTTTTTAAAATGCTACAAAATTAGTTTCTTGTGAACATTTTCATATACTGAAAACACCACACAATTTGTAACACTTGGAAAAATATATTCAATTCACATCAATTCTCAAATCCTCTCACTGGAAGATACCATTATTTTACAGTCCACCATTACTTCTAAAATCGGAAAGATCAGATAAAAAAGGGTCAGTACCACAGACCAATGTGCTTGACATTGTTGAGATTACATTTTAAACCACCCAGAAGCTGTATAAAATGCCATTTTGATTTTTCCTCTTATGTTGTTTCTGCTTAAATAACATCAAAAGATACAGACACAACCACTGAAAAAAGATCACTTTAGTTTGCCATCATTGAAACTATAGAACTAATGAATGTGCTTGTATTCCAAACACAGCATGAAATATTATTCAGGTTTTAAAATTTGCTGCAATTGATACATAATATAAAAAATTTATCCATGAGGTGACTGATTTCAGGTTATTTTTTTTCTGAGGCATTAAAGAGTGCTAAGTCATTTTGGGTACATTTTATCATGTCCTCAAATAAGGCAGGCATATTAGTTGTTGCATATGCTTTTAAAAAGGATGG